TGGTGTGCAGAGGCCTTTACAGACAGTAACCCCCCCTTTTTAAACAGCTCCAGTTCTAGAAGTCAATTTCCCATTCATTCCATCCGCTAACATTTCAGAAAATCCTTTTATGAAGCACATTAAGTCTAAAACCAAGCCAACCAACTTTGAGATGTGACCGTAAAACATTGGATTTGGAGCAACAAAAAAAGCTTGGGGAACAGAAAAAGGAAGCTTGCCCTTTGTGGTCTTGATCCCTTACCAAATTTCTCCCAGACCCACAGGAGGGTGAAAAAATCTGGTTCCTCTGGCTCCTCCTTTAAGGATCCACCAAGTCTGAAGAATACAACAAATCAGAGCCAAGACAAATAGTTGACTGTTGAGTCTAATTTCCAGGTTGTCAACCAATGCTTCAGGTTGGTGGTTTGAAGTTAATTGATTGTGGAATCTCATTTACAGGTCCTAAAGCATCAGTATTTGACTGTATCTTTCTTAGCTCTGATTGGTTGTTTTTGTTCAGACCTGGTGGATTCTTGCAAATACAATTTGAAGCACTAGGAGGAGGCAGAGGAACCTCTTTTTCACATATTATCTGTCAAATCTTCTACTGTCAGGATAGATTGAAAGTTTCAGCAAATATGACAAAAATTTATTTTTGTAAAAGTTACCTACTGCAGCTTTAAAAGCTGAAAGAAAGTCAAGAGTGGCCAGTGATTCAGAGGCTATTGTGCGTGCAATACTAACCAAGTTACCACCTTAGGTTCTGTAACTTTAACTTGTAACACAATGGGCTAAAAGATGTCATTAATATGTAATATTCTGAACACTAACTACTGTAGGGCAGTGTTTTCCTGTGGTACAAGGCCCTAAACCCTTCTACATCTATGTGTGTCCTGTATTTTATTTAATGAATATGTCAAATGTTGTAATTGTAATTTGTTGTGCTGCCCATCTGTGTCATTGTGTCCCTGTCGCTTGTTGCTCTCTCTCTGTTATTTATTTATTTGTCATCTTCTCCATAAGCCTTTCTGCTCATTGTGGCTGCTGGTGGGCCATGTAAATCCTTTAGAACAGGATTACTGAGGCAGAGAAATGCTACTGGACATATCCATCTCTGATGTTCTGAGATCAACATGGCCACTGATTGCTCCCAAACTCCACCCCTCCAAACACACACACAAACACACATATACACTTCAGCTATGTGCTGTGGCTCCATGCCAAAGAGCAGCGAATTAACAGATCTGACCTAATCTGACCTGCAGCATGTCCATCTGCCTGTATGCACCATGCAAATAACACAGGAAATATGCTGAGATAACGAATGTATATGAGTCTGTAAATGTAGAGTGTGGAAATAGTAATGATTCCAGACCAAAGAATGAGATGAGGTGTCTATCTGTGATATAATAAAAATATTTTTTTAGCAAAATGTAAAGCAAATCCATGTTTAGTGCCATTTTAAGAGTTTTAAGTATATATTGAAACTTATCAGCATAATATTGTAATCCACAAGTATTTTGGTGCAGGATATATAGTCTTTCAGAATGAGTAGAAAAAAGAAAGTCGAATAATATTTAAACTACTTCCTCTTTAATGTTGTCAACAGACTGTTATTAAAGCACACCAAGTATGTGCACGTGCAGCCGTTTGTATGTGCTTGTTTCCTTTTTCATTCGCAGGATAAGTCACAGTTTATTAACTAAGTCAACGCCTACATTTGACATTATGAGCCTCACAAAGGTAAAAGCATGCATTAGTTGTCTCAGCGTTACAGGTTTGTGGTCAGGTGAAGCTGGAGTTATATGAGACCAGGAGTCTGGATACTCCCTCTCCCCTGCAGGCACCACCTGGACTTAGAATTGGAGTTAATTGTCTGTGCAGTTTATTTTCCTAGTGGTATGTTTCTTTCCAGTGTCAAAATAACATGTCCTTCTTTTAATTAATCCTTGTGTGCTTCGCTTCATTGCAAAACCTTACAGCACGTCTTAATAAAATACCATAACTTCACTCATTCACATGAATTAAACCCAACTCAGAAATGGACTGTTGAAGTAGTAATTTCAGTTGTTTTAGTGAACTTAAATTTGTGCAGTATTTTAAGTATTGGTGATTTAATTCCAGTTTGTTTCATTGACTCATTTCCTTAAGTTGACTTTATATCATTACAAAAATGTAAGCCCCACTGTGCTTTAATGCTTAGGATTTTTTCAATTTCTGCTTTTATTTCATGATAATATGCCCAATTTTTAATGATATATAGTATAGGTACTAGTTTTAAACTTAATATACCCAAGTTACCTTAACAATAAATACTTGCGTTACTTCTACTCAAATCAAATATTTTTTCATGCTTAAATTGTTTGAGTTAAAACACTTAAATCGTTTAATGTAATCAGTTTCCTAAATAGCTTGAGTTATATTAACTTATCAGGTTTTACAGTGTTATTTGCTGCAGTCTAACGCTTCAATTAATGGCTTAATTCATACATATGAGTCTAAAGTGAAATTGAAGGTAACTTTACATGTTCCCTCCACAGATAAGGGCAGAATACTCCCTCTGAAAAAGTTGAACCACACCCTCCATGATGCTGTTGAGGGATTTATTAAGATGTGGCAACCAGTCTTGGACTGAACTTTGTTTTACCTAACTGACAACATGGGAACTGACTACAGCATACCCTACCAATGTAACGTCATCCTGGTGGTGTGTCTTTTTGTGTTCTAAGGTGATTCAAAAAGAATGATGTGGTTCCTTGTCATTTGGAACTGGAAATCAAATGTTTGATGAAGACAGTTGCCTTGAAACTGAGTTTTCTAAGCTTTTTTTTATTTATTTATTTATTTTTACAGTGTAATTATTACATCTTCACTAATGATTTTGACCTCTAAACCCCAGTACTAGGTAAAAATGCAGGGGCCACCTTAGGGCCCCTATCATTTCAGTAATTGCCACATGGACAACCTGGCAGGGGGTCTAGGTGGTGGGGCAGTTGCCCTTTGTCCGCTTCAGCCTTGGTTTGCAATACTATGGTTATGTTATCATTATGTTATTGTTACATTAATGCACATTATTATGGTTAGTCACTTTGTTCCTTCTTACTTGTAGCCGAAAGAATAAGCTAGATTAACTGTGCCATAAAGTGACACATATTCTTCTTCTTAACAATGACAAAACAAGCATTGCTTGACCACCACCAGGCTCTTCAATATCCTGACTCCTGAAACATGCCAGTTTCAGGGTGCGACCTACAGGGGGAGCTTGGCTCCTTATAATAAGATATGAGCTCCCCTGAAAACATGATTTACGAAATTTTGAGGGTCTCTAAAATACTGACTGAATATCAGCCCCTCCAAAGACATTTTAGGCTGCAACAATCCCAAAATCCCCTAGGATGATTTATTTCTTTCAAGAAAATTGTGATGCATTTTGAGATGTTTTTAGGCTTTTCTTTTGTAATTAAATTGCAGGACAAAGTTAAAAAATTGCATCTTGTTCCACTGAGGAAGGGATCGGGAAGGGTACACTGGAGCTGGAGGAAACGCAATGTGCTATTTTTGCCATGCATTTCTATTTTGGAATTATGCAAATATTAAACTTACTATTGATGTAGGCCCATGATTTGTGTAAGTAACTAATTCACTTTAAAAGGGATACTGCTGTTCTTGCCGTCATATTTCTAACTCTCAATTAAATCCATAAAAGTGTAAAGTTTACTAAATAAACGATGAAAAACCCGAAGGGAAACAACCCAACCACACCGGCCAGGTAGCCCCTCCTCCAGCGGGCACCACGCCCCGCCTCTGTGACTGCGAGGCTAGCGACCTGAGCGGGGCTGAGCGCCTCACCTGGCTCACCTTACAGCCGCTCTGAAACTCAATGCCACGGCACAAAGGCTCCGGGAAATAAGCGCTTATTGTCAGAGACCTGAGCGTCTCTTCGGAGCCACATACTGTATGTTGACATGGAACCGGTGTACCGGGGTCTGGGCCGCTGTGTGTGCTGTTTCTGGCTCGCAGTAGCCTTTGACATTGTGGGACTGCTGGTGCTCCTCATCGGGGTGTTTGTGAACGTGTTCTTCTATGACCTGCTCATCTACGCGGGCGCCATCGTCATCTTCCTCAGCCTCATCTGGTGGGTGTTCTGGTACTCCGGGAACATCGATCGAGGGTGCCCCGCGGAGCTGGAGGATGATGTCGGGTTACTGAAGAAGGGCAAGGCGGTTTGAGCGGCATTGGCGGGGGCGGTGAGGCGGCCTCTCCAGCCGCGTGTCCACCGGAATCAGGAGCTCGTTCCGTAGGAACGGAGGACCGTCCGCGCCAGCGGGGGTCCGCGGCGCGGTCACAGGCCGGTGGGGGCCGCCGTGGCCCCGCAGCGGAGCAGGTGGTCGTTGCCATGGCAACGATATCTCCCGCAGGAGGATACCCCGCACACTGCTGTGCCTCAGTGGCAGGCTGTGACGTAGAGATGCCGCACACAACAACAGAGACTTCACCTACATAGTGGTGGCCCACAGGTGAGATCACAGAACACTGACTCTATCTCTTCCTATCAAAATAAAACATTTATTACACAGTTTATTGTGGAAAGAATTAGCATTTCTGGATCCATTAAACATTTCAAAATTCAATTCACGGGTTACATAAATTTGTCATAAAATAGGCTACTGAGGTTCCAGTTCCCCAATGTGACCCCCCAAAAAACCTATACGAACAACAAAAAAAGAAGAAAAAAGGAAAATTTCAGTTTTCTATTTTTTGTTTTTTTTACATTTTTTAAAACATTTGTGCAATTTACATTTTCTGTCGGCTAGGCTATAGCTTATGTCCCTCAGGTCTAATGCCTGGTTTCAAATGCCTCTTCTGTCTGCCAGTGCCAATGCTAGTAAAAACAATACAAACCCTAAAAACTGTCAAATGTTGAGATAAAAAACTTTAAAATATGAGAAGCAGGCTTTAGAACATGTGTGTATTTGTAGAAATGAAACCCCTTCCTCGGGTCATTTAAACCCCAGAAATACTACAATGTAAGTTCTAACT